ACATCGTCTTCCTCTTCACTATCGAGGTTCCTAGTCGAGAGTCTCTCGGTGGGCAGTTCAATAAAACCAGCGGTATTTGGTGGCACATAATCCTCGGGTAGGGGTTTGAGATGCAGGCGTTGGTAGGTCGCCCGATTGTCCCATAGGTAAACACCGAGACAAGCGGTGTGGGTGGTCGCGAGGAGGTCGTCGGCAGGGGAAAAGGCTACGCTGGTAGCAGGTCGTTGTACTCGAAAACAGTCGATTAATCTACGGCAAAAAGTTGCCGAGAATAAGTGACGTATTACGAGCTTAGAGGTAGGGAAATGAGCATTTTAAAAAGATAAAGCACCAATTTTACTCTACTACCAAAAAAAATAAAAGATCAAAGTCATTTATAAGACTAACTATTGGATGTCGCCTGACGGTGATCCTGCGATAAATGAGACTTGGGGACAATTCTTCCACCTAGAACTGTTTTATCTCTAGCAGTGATATTTGAAGTTGCTTCTTCCTGACATGTAACTACATGGACAGTTGCCAAGTTAGTGACATTCTATGACAGCAGACTCAATTTACCAAGCAATTTGGGATGGCACACATCAAGCACATCATTATGTAACAGCTTGTCTTGAGAGTGCTGAGCAGTACAGAACGTACTTGCAATCGACAACATCCCAGGTTTTGATGAGCGGGTCACAACGATGCGTAGTCACCATCATAGTTCCATCAGATGAAAGTGCCTAATGAAGCAGATGAGGACTGACGAAACAAGCACAAGAGGTACCGCGGAAAAATGAAATAAGAAGGCTTACCAAATCAGTGCATACATGTGTCACTGGGTTGTTGAAGCGACGAAAGATTTTACGATTCACTACATTGACCAGCATCACCTCACCGGTTGAGAGAGCAAGTGCCAAAGTGTCACTAAAGAGTTTTGAGAGTTGTTAAGACGTTCTGATATTGTGCCATACCTCTCATCATGGAATTTAGAAAATCTTGGCGAGGAAGTAATGTCCAAGGTGTCAATAAGCTTGCAGGTGGAGAAATTCCAGAATTTTACTTCACCACGCCCCACTGTGATGAGCACCCGATTCACACTGGTCACATGTACACCAATAACGGTGGATTCGTGGACTAAATGCAAGGAAAGAAAGTTTGCTTTAGACCAACAAAATACCAGATTTTAGCCATCAACGCTTTGGAAGAGACTTTTGCTTAATAATAACCTTTTCAAGACAAAAATGCAAGTGACCGATAAAGAAGTAGGTTGATAGTTTGAAGATGAAAATTCCTTCCGTCAAGCAATCCCAATTTTGAAAAGTGAACCGGCAAAATGAAGTTACAGTAAAGGGAGCAGTTTGTCATTTGAGATGAGACTAAATTAAGCAAATTGCAACATAGGCGGCGGATGGAAGAATCAAGAGGTACTCAATTCGGTACAAAATAAGACACTTCTATCCTTTTGTCTAGGTTGAGACCTTTGGGACATTCATCCAAAGCCAAACAAAGGAAAGTGTATAAGGATTGATCCACTTTATATTACATTGTTGTTTAAAAATTACCTTTTCCCTTATTCCCAAATTCACCGTACTCTAAGCCTGATTGCATGTTGAATTTGGCCACATCACCACTGGAGTAGCCAATCACCACGAAATTCCCACACCGCGTCATGCAGAGGCACTGAAGGTAACCAAACGTGACCAAAAGTAAACTATTTACTCCTTAACCACCAGTAGCCAAACAGCTTTCAACTTACAGTAGCAATGGTGCGCCTATGCACACGCAGAGCCTCACCCCCTTTGCCGTGGAAACGTCTGGGATCCAACCAGTGGCGTCCACGAGTAGCCCTGACAAAATTCCACGTGGACACCTCACGGCGGTCGGTATGGGCAACGGCGATGGAGTCCCAGTCGTTAGCACGACCTGGAGAAAGAGCGATCGCAGATGGACCAGGCAAAAGATAGGGTAGCCGTTGAGCAACTGAAGATAGTCTCTTTGCTGAAGGCATAAAAGGGGAGTAGGCACGACCCAAACTGCGGTCGTAACGTTCATTGAAAGTGGAGAAAATACTAAAGAGCAAAGTAACAAAACGATATGATTTTACACTTATGCTCCTTCATTGACAATAGAGTGGATTTCACAAGTCAATTCTGTTCTAGAAGTACTTGTTGCAAATCATTCAAATTCATCCGAAGTGCTACATTAGTGGTAGCATTGACAAGCGTACAGAAAAAAGAAAATGCGACTTTCATCAAGTTAGTAGTACACTTGGAATGCATAAAAAGCAGACTTATGGCGCAAGTACAGCGAGAGCGTAAAAATTTTGAAACGTTCGAAGTAATTTAGATTAAGACTAATAAAGAGCGATTAAAAAATACATACATCCCATGTTCATTTCAATGAAAGGGCCCGTGATGGG